TCTGTTTTTATTAGAGACTAGGACTGCAAACCCTGCTTTTTTTTTCTTCCCATTTGCTTGGTAAATATTCCTCCAATCCTTTATTTTGATCCTATGTGTTTCTTTGCATATAAGATGGGTCTCCTAAACATGGCACACCAATGTGTCTTGACTCTTTATGCAGTTTGTCAGTCTGTGTCTTTTAATTGGGGCATTTAGCCTGTTTACATTTAAGGTTAATATTGTTATATGTGAATTTGATCCTGTCATTATGATGCTAGCTGGTTGTTTTCCCCTTAGTTGACGCAGTTTCTTCATAGTGTAGATGGTCTTTATAATTTGGTATGTTTTTGCTGTGGCTGGTACTGGTTGTTCTTTTGCATGCTTAGTGCTTCCTTCAGGAGCTCTAAGGCAGGCCTGGTGGTGACAAAATCTCTCAGCATTTGCTTGTCTGTAAAGGGTTTTATTTCTCCTTCACTTATGAATCTTAGTTTTGCTGGATATGAAATTCTGGGTTGAAAATTCTTTTCTTTAATAACATTGAATATTGGTCCCCACTCTCTTCTGGCTTGTAGGTTTTCTGTGGAGAGATCTGTTGTTAGTCTGATGAGCTTTCCCTTGTGGGTAACCCCTTTCTGGCTGCCCTTAATATTTTTTCTTTCATTTCAACCTTGGTGAATCTGACAATTATGTGTCTTGGGGTTGTTCTTCTCGAGTAGTATGTTTGTGGTGTTCTCTGTATTTCCTGAATTTGAATGTTGGCCTCTCTTGCTAGGTTGGGGAAGTTCTCCTGGATAATATCCTAAAGAGTGTTTTCCAGCTTGGTTTCATTCTCCCCTTCACTTTTAGGTACACCAATCAAATGTAGGTTTGGTCTTTTCACATAGTCCCATATTTCTTGGAGGCTCGCTCGTTTCTTTTCAATCTTTTTTCTCTAATCTTGTCTTCACACTTTATTTCATTAAGTTGATTTTCAATCTCTGATATCCTTTCTTCCACTTGATCAATTTGGCTATTGATACTTGTGTATGCTTCACAAAGTTCTCGTGCTATGTTTTTCAGCTCCATCAGGTCAACTTATGTTCTTCTCTAAACTGGTTATTCTAGTTAGGAATTCCTCTAATCTTTTTTCATGGTTCTTAGCTTCCTTGTATTGGTTTATGATATCCTCCTTTGGCTTGGAGGAGTTTGTTATTACCCATCTTCTGAAGCCTACTTCTGTCAATTTGTCAAACTCATTCTCCATTCAGTTTTGTTCCCTTGCTGGCAAGGAGCTGTGATCCTTTGGAGGAGAAGAGGCGTTCTGGTTTTTGGAATTTTCAGCCTTTTTGCATGGTTTTTCCTCATCTTCGTGGATTTATCTACCTTTGGTCTTTGATGTTGTGACCTTTGGATGGGGTTTCTAAGTGAACATCCTTTTTATTGATGTTGATGCTATTCCTTTCTGTTAGTTAGTTTTCCTTCTAATAGTCAAGCCTCTCTGCTGCAGGTCTGCTGGAGTTTGCTGGAGGTTCACTCCAGACCCTGTTTGCCTAGGTATCACTAGTGTAGGCTGCAGAACAGTAAAGATTGCTGCCTGTTCCCTCCTCTGGAAGCTTTGTTCCAGAGGGGCACCCACCAGATGCCAGATGGAGCTCTCCTGTATGTGGTGTCTGTTGACCCCTGCTGGGAGGTGTCTCCCAGTCAGGAGGCACAGGGGTTAGGGACTCACTTGAGGAAGCAGTTCTCCCTTAGCCGAGCTCTGATGCTATGCTGGGAGATCCACTGCTCTCTTCAGAACCCGCAGGCAGGGATGTTTAAGTGTGCTGAAGTTGCGCCCACAGTCACCACTTCCCCCAGGTCCTCTGTTCCAGGGAGATGGGGGTTTTATCCATAACCCCCTGACTGGGGCTGCTGCCTTTTTTTTTTTTTTTTTTTTTAAGAGATTCCCCTGCCCAGAGAGAAGAAATCTAGAGAGGCAATCTGGCTACAGTGGTTTTGCTGAGCTGCAGCGGTCTCCACCCAGTTTGAACTTCCAGGCGGTTTTGTTTACACTGTAAGGGGAAAAACACCTACTCAAGTCTCAGTAATGGCAGACGTCCCTCCCTCCACCACGCTCAAGCATCCCAGGTCAACCTCAGACTGCTGTGCTGGTAGCAAGAATTTCAAGCCAGTGGATCTTAGCTTGCTGGGCTCTGTGGGGGTGGGATCTGCTGAGCTACACCACTTGGCTCCCTGGCTTCAGCCCCCTTTCCAGGGGGGTGAATGGTTCTGTCTCGCTGGTGTTCCAGGTGCCACTGGGGTATGAAAAAAAGCTCCTGCAGCTAGCTCGGTGTCTGTCCAAACAGCCACCCAGTTTGGTGTCTGCCCAAACGGCCGCTCAGTTTTGTGCTTGAAACCCACAGCCCTGATGTCGTAGGCACGTGATGGAATTTCCTGGTCTATGGGTTGCGAAGACTATGGGAATAGCATAGTATGTGGGCTGGAGGGTACCATTCCTCATGGCTTCCCTTGGCTAGGTGGGGAGTTCCCCAACCCCTTGCACTTCCCTGGTAAGGCGACACCCCACCCCGCTTTGGCTCGCCCTCTGTGGGCTGCACCCACTGTCTAACCAGTCCCAGTGAGATGACCCGGGTTCCTCAGTCAGAAATGCAGAAATCACCTGCCTTCTGTGTTGGTCTCGCTGGGAGCTGAAGACCAGAGCTGTTACTATTCAGCCATCTTGCCTGCCACCCATTATTATATATTATCTCCCACATTCAAAGGCAATTTTTACATAACTATAACCATTATACAGACATATCTCATTATATGCATTTTATTGCATTTTGCAGATACTGTTTTTACGAAAGGCTTGTGGCAACCCTGAGTCTGTTGGTGTCATTTTTCCAACAGCATGTGCTCACTTCATGTTTCTATGTCACATTTTGGTAATCCTTACAATATTGCAAACTTTTTCATTATTATTACATCTGTTATGGTGATCTGTGATCAGTGATCTTTGATGTTACCATTGTAATTGTTTTGGGGCACCATGAACCATGACTGTAGAAAATAGAGAACTTAATCGATAAATCTGCATATTCTGAATGCTCCATTGACCGAACATTCCCCTATCTCCCCTGGCCTCTCTATTCCCTGAGACACAACAATATTGAAATTAGCCCAATTGATAACCCTACAATGGCCCCTAAGTGTTCAAGTAAAAGGGAGAGCTGCATGTTTTTCACTTTAAATCAAAAGCTAGAAATTATTAAGCTTAGTGAGGAGGTATGTAGAAAGGTACGATAGGCCTCTTGCACTGTTAAAGGAAATTAAAAGTACTATTCCAGTGAACACACAAATGATAAAATGAAACAGCCTTATTGCTGTTATGGAGAAAGTTTTAGTGATCTGGATAGAAGGTCAAACCAGCCACCACTTCCTCTAAGCCAGGGTTGTCCAATCTTTTGACTTCCGTGGGCCACAGTGGAAAAAGAATTGTCTTGGGCCACACATAAAATACACTAACACTAACAATAGCTGATGAGGAAAAAAAATCGCAAAAAAATCTTATAATGTTTTAAGAAGTTTACGAATTTGTGTTGTGCAGCATTCAAAGCCATTCTGGGCTGCATGCAGCCCATGTGCCAGGGTTGGACAAGCTTGCTGTAAGCCAAAGCCTAATCCAGAGCAAGGCCCTAACTCTTATAAATTCTATGAAGGCCGAGAGAGGTAAAGAAGCTGCAGAAGAAAATTTGAAGCTAGCAGAGTTCATGGGGTTTAAGGAAAGAAGCCATCTCCATAACATAAAAGTGCAAGGTAAAGCAACAAGTGCTAATGTAGAAGCAGCAGCAAATTATCCAGAAAATCTGTCTAAGATCATTGAAGATGGTTACACTAAACAACAGATTTTCACTGTAGACAATACCAGCTTCTAGTAGAAGAAGATACCATCTTGGACTTTTATAGCTAAAGAGAAGTTACTGTCTGGCTTCCAAGCTTTGAATGACAGGTTGACTTCTTGTTATGGGCTAATACAGCTTGTGACTTTAAGCTGAAGCCAACACTCATCCATCATTCTGAAAATCCTAGGGCCCTTAAGAATTATGCTAAATCTAATCTGCCTGTGCTGTATAAACAGAACAACAAAACCTGGATGACAGCACATCTCTTTACAGCATGGTTTACTAACTATCTTAAGTCTACTGTTGAGGCAAGACCCTCCCCCAGCAAAAACATTACAACTCACTGAGGGCTCAGATGTTTGTCAGCATTTTTTAACAATCAAGTATTTTTAAATTAAGGTATATACATTATTTTTTAGATACAATGCTATTGCATACCTAATAGGCTATAGTATAAACATACCTTTTATATGCATTGGGAAACCAAAAAAATTTGTGTGACTCACTTTATTGTGATATTTGCTTTATTGCAGCAGTCTGAAACCAAGACCCACAATATCTCAGAGGTGTGCTTGTACACATACACACACACATAAACCATTTTAGCGTATGGTGTTTGAATTTCAAAATGACGTTTTCATGAAACAAAATCAGTATCTTTTATTATTTTATTTGAACCGTGAAGCTATGATGCTGTCTACTAATATGAAAATGACTACTAAACTGTATATGGGAGATAATCTGTGACTTCATGACATTCGAGATGTATTTATTAAGAGACATATTGTGATGATTTTGTATTATTTTTTGCACCATGCAAATAAGCAGTCTTTAGGATCATGTGATTCTAAAGTAGAAAATCTATAGATTTTCAAGCTAACTTTTCACTCTAAGTCAGTGGTCCCCAGTCTTTTCGGCACCAGGGACTGGTTTCATGGAAGACAATTTTTCCATGGACTGAGGTGGGGGATGGTTTCAGGTTGAAATTATTCTACCTCAGGTCATCAGGCATTAGATTCCCATAAAGAGCACGCAATCTAGATCCCTCACATTTGCAGTTCACAATAGGGTTCACGCTCTATGAGAATCTAATGCCACCGCTGATTTGATAGGAGGTGGAGCACAGGCCATGATGCTCACTTGCCTGCTTCTCACCTCCTGCTGTGCAGCCTGGTTCCTAATAGGCCACGGTCCGGTACTGGTCTGCAGCCCGGGTGTTGGGGACCCCTGGTCTAAATGAAAGACTTGATCTTTAAAAACTATTTTTCCATCCACCTATCAATAAACGTGTACTAAGTGGCCTACTACCCTTTTAAAAAAAAGGACAGTCTCTTGCTGGGTGAGGAATGCCAGATACATAAACAAGCACAAAAATGTTTTTGGCTGATTCATATAAGCATATTTTGACTTACAAAAATGAGTTTCACGTGATTAAACCTAATATTCTTACAGAGACATATGTATGTTACTATATTTACACACACACACACAGACACACACACACACACAAATTCTTAACTGTTAATGGAGAATCAGAAAAAGATTCCAAGAGGTAGAATGAATAAGAGTTTGTAAACAGAGATGAATGAACATTTCAGACAGAGGTAACAGCATGTCCAAAGGCATAAAAGAAGGAAGATCTAATGTATTCAAATAATTGCAGGTAGATCACAAGCCAGGAAATGTATAGTAGTGTGTGTGGAGTGTGTATGTTCGTAGGAGGGTGGGATGGTGGTGAAAAGAATGGCAAGAATAGATAGTGTAAAACATGCTGGATCCAGATTGTAGGCTTTATCTTAAAGGCAATGGGGAGCTTTGAAAGCTTTTTAGCAAGGGAGTGACATGATTACATAAACATTTTAGAAAATTCATTCTGATGGCAGTGTGGAAAACAAATTGGAATCTTCTGAGAACATGGTATCAGAGAAAGCAGTTTGGAGGCTATTTTAATAATAGTGAAGAAATAAGGCATAGGAATTAGGACAAAGAGAGAGATAATTAAAGACATACTTAGGAGGTACACCCACAGTAAAGCTGAGCAGGGTAAGAAAAAAATCAAGAACAACTTTCAAATGTTGCTAAAATTAAATAACTAAAGGAATAGCTATTAGGGAAATTCATATTAAAATCACAATGAGGTGATGTCAGCAAGATAGCTCACTAGAGACACCTGGCACCCATACTCCCCACCCACACAAGAAAGGACCAACGCAATGAATAAAGAGCTAAGATTTCACTAGAGTGTTGACCAGAGAGTGCTGGAGTACAGTAGGGAAGTGGGGAGGTACCTATAGTGATTGGAAGTCCAGGAGGTACCTACAGTGATTGGAAGCAACGGAGAGAGACACCTAGCCTCTGTGGCACTGTCTACCATGCCTGCATAGATTGATTTGGAGACAGGAGAGAATTTCCCTTTCAGGGAAATGGTAAGCAGAAGAATCTCATCAGCTGCTATTGCCACTGCAAATGCCCACAGTCCTTACTATAGGTGAATCCCACATCATCCCAAGCCCCAAGTCAAGTTTGGAGAGCTGCTGGGAATTCATGCAACTACACTGGATTATGTAGTTGCACGGATTATGAGCACAAGGTGTGCACTCCCCAACCCCCACCTATCCTGTGAGCCACACTGCTGCAGCACAGTGCCATCTTGAAATTAGAGCCACCTCTGGAATGCGTCCTCCTCTGGGACCAGTAGCCATTGCGCCTCTCCAGCACTGGTGGTTCAGCTTCATTCCACTCAGCCCATAGATGGCTGATGCATAACCCCAGCTGTGCAAAGCCTGGGTCCAGGATGGGTTGCAAATCTGGTCCTACACAGCAGGGAAACCAATTCCCACTGCCTGCACTTCCAGCTGGAGGAATAGTCTAGCAGTCCTACCCAGGGTGAACCCACTGCTGAGCCAGCTAAACTGCTGCACACCCTCCCCTAAGTTAAGCAAGAAAGGACTTGGGGCTACCAAGTAGTTGACAAGCAACCCCTTGGGCTGTCCACCAAACAGATGGAGCAGCTACAAGCCTAGGACCTGAGAAACAGCCCTGCGGCACCCACCCCTCCTGCTGACACACCTCTGGCCTGCCCAAAGGCCCCACGCCTGTAATCAGAGCCTGAGAAACAGCTTCATGGGCTACTCCTAGTTCACCTTCTCCTAGGCCTCCAAGCTGCCAACCAGGTAAGTCTTGGGCCTAAGAAACAGCTCTGCAGGCTGCCCCTGGCTAGCATGCCCCCAGGCTGACTGAGTAGCTGTATGTCCACTTCCTAGGCCTGACAAACAGCCCCGGGGGCTGCCCCTGGCAGACACACTCCCAGACTGAGTGGCTGTGTGTCCATGTCCGGGCCACATCTACCAGACATGCACCCAGGCCACCCAATAAACCACCCATGTCCTAGACCAGAGAAACAACTCCAGGAGCAAACTTGAACAGACATACACCCAGGACAACTGAGAAGCCATGCATCTGCATCCCAGGCCTAAAAAACAGCCCCGTGGGATACCCCTGACAGACATGCCCTCAGGCCAGCTGAATAGCTGTGCACCCCTGTCTCAGGTCTAAGAAATAGCCTTGTGAGCCATCCCTGGCAGGCATAACCCCAGACTGGCTGAGCAACCAGGTGCCTGTGCCACCAGCCAGGGTAACAACTCCAAGGCCCCGACCCCAGCAAGACTTCAAGTTGTCTGACTCACTGTGTGCATACTCGCACCCTTGACCTGAGAAAAAGCTTCACTCTCAGCAAAGCCACACCACCACTGCCAAACTCTCTCATCCTAGATTCCTGAGACACTCATAAATGTTAGTAGTGTAGATTACAGCTGAAGAAACTACCTGGAGACTATACTACGTGTTAATCTAGACCCAAAACCAAGGCACCCCACCAAACTGACACCCCAAGACCCATCTATATGTATAAGTCTTTCCATAAGAAAATTGGAGGGGGCAATTGTTCCACCAAATGCATAGAAATTAACGTAGGCAAAAAAAAACCAAACAAACAAACAAAAAACATAGGCAGAAAAAGCAGGCAAACATTATACCTTCAGAAGAACACAGTAATTATCCAGTAAGAATCCAGTCATAAGGAACTATATGAAATACCAGAAAAAGAATTCAAAATAGTACTCTTAAGGAAACTCAGTGAGATAAAAGAGAATATAGATAGACAGGGGCCAGGCACAGTGGCTCACGCCTGTAATCCCAGCACTTTGGGAGGCCGAGGCGGGCAGATCGTGAGGTCAGGAGATTGAGACCATCCTGGCTAACACAGTGAAACCCGGTCTCTACTAAAAATACAAAAAATTAGCCAGGCTTGGTGGCGGGTGCCTGTAGTCCCAGCTACTCAGGAAGCTGAGGCAGGAGAATGGCGTGAACCCAGGAGGCGGAGCTTGTGGTGAGCCGAGATCGCGTCACTGCACTCCAGCCTGGGCGACAGAGTGAGACTCCATCTCAAAAAAAAAAAGAGAGAGAATATAGATAGACAATGAAATTTTAAAAATTCACTATTTAGATGAGAAATTCAATAAAGAAATAGATATCATAAAAAAGAATCAAACAGAAATCCTGAAGCTGAAGGATTCAATTAATTAAATAAAAAATACAATTGAGGCTGGGCACAATGACTGACTCCTATAATCCCAGCACTTTTGGGAGGCCAAGGCGGGTAGATCACTTGAGGTCAAAAGTTCAAGACCAGCCTGGCCAATGTGGTGAAACCCTGTCTCTCCTAAAAAATACAAAAATTAGATTGGCATACTGGTGGGTGCCTGTAATCCCAGCTACTTGAAAGGCTAAGGGAGGAAAACCGCTTGAACCCAGAAGATGGAGGCTGCAGTAAGCCAAAATCGCACCACTGCACTCCAGCCTGAGTGACAGAGTGAGACTCTGTCTCAAAAATTAAAAAAAAAAAAAAAAAATTGAGAGCATCAGTAAACAGACTAGATCAGCCAGAATAAGGAATTTCTGAATGTGAAGATAGGTCTTTTGAAGTAACACAGGCAGCCCACCCGCTACACACCCAAAAAAAGGCCTCCAAGATGTATGAGACATCATTAAGTGAACAAATATTTGCATTATGGGCATTCCAGAAGAAGAAAAGAAGGAGAAAAAAGCTAGTATTTCATTAAATATGTTTTCTGCATATTTAATGAAATAATAGCTGAAGTCATCACAGGTTTTGGGAGAGAGACAGATATCCAGATCCAGAAAGTTCAAATAATCCCACATAGATTCAACCTAAACAAGTCCTCTTCAATGCACATTATAGTCAAATTATCAAAAGTCAAAGACAAAGATAGAATTATAAAACTGCAAGAGAAAAGAATTAAGTCACATGTAAGGGAATTCCCATTAGTTTGAGTGGATTCCACAGCAGAAACCTTATAGGCCAAGAGAAAATAGGATATAATCAAAGTACTGAAAGAAAAAAACTATCAGCAAAAGTATTATACCCAGCAAAGATATCCTTCAGGAATAAAGGAGAAATAAAATCTTTGCTTCCAGCCAAGCAAAAACTAAGGGAATTCATCACCACTAGACTGGCTATATAAGAAATGCTCAAGGGAATCTTACATATGGAAGGGAAAAGACAATTACCACACTAATAAAAACATGAAACTATTAAACTCACTGGTAGAACTGATATACAAAGGAGAAAGAGAAAGGATTCAAACCATTTCATTACAGAAAACCAACCAACTACAAAAATAAATAAAAGAGAAACAAAGGATACACAAAACTACCAGAAAACAAACATAAAAACAGAAGGAGGTCCTCATCAATAACAACCTTGCATGCCAATGGATTAAATACTCCATTTAAAAGATATAGATTGTCTGAAAGGATAAAAAATAAAAACAAGAGGCTGGGCGTGGTGGCTCACGCCTGTAATCACAGCACTTTGGGAGGCTGAGGTGGGTGGATCACGAAGTCAGGAGATAGAGACCATCTTGGCTAACAAGGTGAAACCTCGTCTCTACTAAAAATACAAAAAATTAGCTGGGCGTGGTGGCAGGCACCTATAGTCCTAGCTACTTGGGAGGCTGAGGCAGGAGAATGGCATGAACCCGGGAGGCGGAGCTTGCAGTGAGCTGAGATTGTGCTACTGTACTCCAGCCTGAGGGACAGAGCGAGATTCCGTCTCAAAAAATAAACAAATAAAATAAAATAAAACCAAGACCCAACTATATACTGCCTATAAGAAACTCCCTTTATCCATAAAGACTCACACAGACTGAAAGTGAAGGGATGGAAAAAGACATTCCACAAACAAAAACCAAAAACAAGCAGAAATATCTGTATTAGACAAAACAAGACTTCAATTCAAAAGTTGTACAAAGAGAAAAAGAAAGACTTTATATAATTATCAATGGATCCATTCAGCAAGAGAATATAACAGTCTTAAATATATATATGCATCCAACACCAGAGCACCCAGATAGATAAAGCAAGCTGTACAAAGAGAAAAAGAAACATCATATAATCAATGGATCCATTCAGCAAGAGAATATAACAGTCATAAATATATAGATATGCACACAGCACCAGAGCATCCAGATATACAAAGCAAATATTATTAGATTTAAAGGGAGAGACAGACTTCAATACAATAATAGTTGGGGACATCAACACCCAGTCTCAGCATTAAACAGGTCATCTAGCCAGAAAATCAACAAAGACACACTGGATTTAAACTGCACCATAGGCTAAATGGACATAATTTTCAAAACGTTTCACCCAACAACTGATTTTTTTCATCAGCACATGGGACATTCTCCAAAACTGACCACATATTAGGACACAAAACAAGTCTCAAACTTTTTTAAAAATTGAAATATCAGTATCTTATTTTACCACAATGGATAAAACTTCAAATCAATAATAAGAGAAACATCCAAAACTATACAAATACATGGAAATTAAACACCACCCTGCTGAATGGCCAATGGATTAAGAAAGAAAATAAGAAAATTAGAAAGTCCCATGAGACAAATGAAAATAGAAACACAACATACCAAAATCTATGGGACACAGCAAAAGCAGTATTAAGGGGCAAGTTTATAGTAATAAATGTCTACACAAAAAACTAGAAAGATTTCAAATAAACAATTTAATGATGCATCTCAAGGAACTAAAAAAAAGAAAGAAAAAATCAAACTCAAAATTAGTAGAAGAAATAAAGATCAGAGCAGAAATAAATAAGATTGAGAGAAAAAAATACAAAAGACCAATGAAATGAAAGTTGGTTATTTGAAAAGATAAACAAAATTGACAAATCATTAGCTAAACTAAGAAAAAAGAGAAAACCCAAATAAAAAAATCAGAAATCAAAAATGAGACATCACAACAGATATCACAGAAATACAAAGGGTCATGAACAAATACATGCCAATAAATTTGAAAACCTAGAGGAAATAGATGAGGTCCTGCCTATATACAACCTACCAAGATGGAACCAAGAAGAAATGGAAAACCTGAACAGATCAATAACAAGTAATAAAATTAAAACAGTAATAAAACAGTCTCCTAACAGAGAAAAATCTAGGACCAGATGACTTCACCATTGAACTGTAATGAACCTTTAAAGAATTATTAAAAGTAATTATCCTCAAACTGTTTAAAAAAAAAAAAAAAAGTGATTCCAGCGGGGTGTGGTAGCTCACACCTGTAATCCCAGCACTTTGGGAGGTTGAGGCGGGTGGATCACTTTAGGCCAGGAGTTTGAGACCAGCCTGGCCAATGTAGTGAATCCCCCTCTCTACTAAAAATACACAAATTAGCCAGGTGTGATGGCCTGCACCTGTAATCCCAGGTACTTGGGAGGCTGAGCCAGGAGAATCACTTGAACCCTGGAGGGGAATGTAGGTTGCAGTGAACTGAGATGTGCCACTGCACTTCAGCCTGGGCAGCAGAGCGAGACTCCTCCTCCTTCTCCTCAAAAAAAATAAAATAAAATAAAAAAGTGATTCTATGAGGCCCGCATAACTGTGATAGCAAAACCAGATAAGAACACAACAGGAAGAGAAACTACAGGATAAATCCCCCAATGAACATAGACATAAAAGTGCTCAACAAAATACAGGCAAACCAAATACAAAATACATAAAAAAGATAATACACCTGATCAAGTGGGATTTATGTCAGGAATGCAAGTATGGTTCAACACATGCAAATCAATCAATATGATACACTATATCAACAGGATGAAGGAGAAAAACCATATGATCATGTCAATAGGTGCAGAAAAAAGCATTTGATAAAATGCAACATCCCTTCATAATTAAAAACTCTCATGAAATTAGGTATAGAAGGAAAGTACCTTAACAAAATTAAGGCCATATATGATAGACCCACAGCTAACATCATACTGGATGGACTGGAAGAAGACAAAGATGCCCACTCTCACCACTGTTATTCAACATAGTACCGGAAGTGCTACGTAGAGCAATTAGACAAGAGAAAGAAATAAAGGGTATTCAAATTAGAAAGGAGGAAATCAACCTGTCCCTGTTTGTAGATGACATGATCTTCTATATAGGAAAACCTGAAGACTCTATCAAAAAACTCTTAAAACTAATAAATGAATTCAGTAAAGTTGCAGAATACAAACATCGACATAAAAATCAGCAGTATTTCTATACATGGATGATTAACTAAACTGAAAAAGGAATCAAGACAATCCCATTTACAATAACTACAATAACATAAAATACCTAGGAATAAATTTAACCAAAGAAGTGAAGGATCTCTACAATGAATACTATAAAATGCTGATGAAATAAATTGAAGAGGACACAAACAAACTGGAAGATATGCTCATGGATCAGAAGATTTAATATTGTTTAAAATAATCATACTACCCAAGGAAACCTACAGATTCAATGCAATCCCTATCAAAATACCAATTACATTCTTCACAGAAATAGCAAAAGAAATCCTAAAAGACGCAAAACAGATAAAGCAACCCTGAACAAAAAGAACAAAGCTGCAGGCTGGGTGTGGTGGCTCATGTCTGTAATTCCAGCACTTTGGGAGGCTGAGGCAGGTGGATCACGACATCAGGAGATGAAGACCATCCTGGCTAAAATGGTGAAACTCCGTTTCTACTAAAAATACAAAAAATTAGCCAGGCATGGT